CCAGGCACCATTTATTGAAGAGGCTATCATTTCTGCAGTGTGTACTTTTGGTCTCTTTGTCAAAGATCGGATAGCTAGGGCTGGGGATTTAACTCAGTGGTTCCGTCACCTGACTTGTAAGCACAAGGTCCGGAGTTTGATCTCTGGTACCAAAAAAAAAAAAAAAGATCACATAGCTAAATGTGCCTGGGGTTGTCTATCCACTATTCTGTTCCATTGATCATTGATCCACATGTCTTTTTTTGTTGCAGTATCATGTTGTTTTTATTACTGTAGCTTTATAATACAGCTTGAAATCCTGGATTCTGATTTCACAAACATGCTTCTTGCTTCACTCTTGTTGCTGAGGATTGCTTTGCTATTCTTGGTCTCTTCTGGTTCAATATGAATTTCAGGATTGGGCTGGGGATTTAGCTCAATGGTTTCACCGCCTGCCTCGCAAGCGCAAGGACCCAAGTTCAATCCCTGGTACAAAAACAAAAAAACAAATTTCAGGATTGTTTTCTCTAGTTCCGTGAGAAATGTTGTTGGTTGGTTTTGTTTTGTTTTGTTTTTTGAGGTACCAGGGATTGAACTCAGGACCTTGCACTTGTGAGGCAGGCATGGTGCCACTGACCTAAATCTCCAGCCCTGCTCTTGGTATTTTGAGTAGGATTGTGTTAAATCTGTTTATCAGTTGTAGAAGTATGACCATTTTGACAATATTTCATCTGTTTAACCAGGAACAGGGGATATCTTTCCGTTTTCTAATGTCTTCTTCAGTCTCCTTTTTCAGAGTGCAATAGTTTTCATTATAGAGGTCTTTCACTTCCTTTTTAGGTTAATTCCTCAGTGTTTAATTTTTCTTAAAGCTATTTTGAATGATATTGTTTTCCTAATTTCTTTCTCAGTGAGTTCATCATTGGTGTAGAGGAATGCTATTGATTTTTGTTTGCTGATTGTGTATCCTTCTTCATTGCTGCTGCATTCTCGGAGTTTTTGATGGAACTTTTTGGGGTCTTCTATGTAGAGAATCATGTCATCTCCACATAATGATAATTTGACTTCTTCCTTTCCTGTACGTATCCCTTTTATTTCTTTCTCTTGCCTGATTGCTCAGAGTAATGTTTCCACTATAGTAATTCCCTGACTTACGGATGAGTTCTGTTCTGGAAGACCATGGAGAATGTTCGTAAGTTGGATTTGTTTGTAAGTCTAACAAAGTGAGTCTTATACACCTTTGACACAAATGTACAAAGTATATTGCTTTGCACTTCCTAGCAGTCCTTTCCACATCATCACTGCTTTTCCTTTTGCTTCTGGACATTCTGGGCTGTGATTGAGCACTGTACTACCATATACTATCGCATTGTACAGTAAGCATACAGCAGCACAACTGTGACAAGGTCTGGCAGACATGTGAGCTACTTCGTGATTTGTTCACAGCTACAGTGTTTGAAATGCAGGGTCTGTTCCTATCTGTGAAAGTTCACAACTGTGAAACTTCACAAGTTTGTAAGTTGGAGACTTACTGTACTATGTTGAACAAGCATGGTGGTAGTGGACATCCTTGTCTTGTTCCTTCTTTTAGGGGGAAACCTGTCAGTTTTCCCCCATTTAATTTGATGTTGGCAGTACATTTGTCATAAATGGCTTTTATCGGATTGATATAACGTCCTTTTATATTTATTGTCTTCAGAGTTGTTATCATGAATGGATGTTAGATTTTGTGAAAGGCTTTTTCTGCATCTTTTGAGATGATCATGTGATTTTTGTCCTTGCTTATGTTTATGTGATACATTATTGATGTGCATATGTTGAACCATACTTGTATTCCTGGTATGAAGCCTTACTTGGTCATGATATGTGATCTTTTTGATGATTTATTGCATTTTGTTTGCCAGTATCTTGTTGAAGATTTTTGCATCTGTTTCATTAAAATGATTGGCCTTTAATCCTCTTTTTTGGTTAGATCCTTGTCTGGTTTTGCAGTTAATGTAGTGCTAGCTTCCAGGAATGACTTTGAGCCTACTCCTTCCCTTGCGATTTCATTAAAGAGTTTGAGGAGTGTTGATGTTAGATCTCTGAAGTTTGAAGAATTTATGAGTGAATCCATTAGGACCTAGGCTTTTCTTAGTTGATAGGTTTTTATCCTCGCTTCGATTTCATTGCCTACACAGGAACTTTAAAAAATCTCTTATTATTCCATGTACTGTACATCATTTCCCATTATCTTCCTTCTCAGAATTTTTGGTCTGTTTCATGTCCCAATTGTTTTTCTTTGCCCCAAGCCACTGTATCAATCAAATGATTTAGGAAAAGCCACCTACAAAGACACATTAGCCCTGGTAATGTTCCAAGCCAGGTAAACCCAAGGCAAGCCATTGCACCAGTTCCTCAGGGAACTGACAGACAAGTTGAAACCTACAATTACAATTCTTTTGTTTTGTTTTGGTTTGGTTTGATTTTTGGTTTTTGGTTTTTTGGTATGGGGGATCAAACTCCTCGGGTCCTTGTGCTTGCACAGCAGGTGGCGAAACCACTTAGGTGGCTAAATCCCTGGCCTACAATTACAATTCTTGAAGAATAAAGTTTGTATGGCTTCCTCAGGGATTAGGAGTCCAGGTTTCTGCCTTCTGTGCTTGGGGCACCACTGAGTTGGGGCATAGTAGTTGGTAGACTGGCAATTTAAAATGATATAGTGCTGGGCATGGTGGTACATGCCTGTAATCTCAGCACTGGGAAAGCTGAGGCAGGAGAATTGCTGTGAGCTCAAGGCCAGCCTGGGCTATATAGTGAGTTCTAGGCCAGCCTGAAATACATAATGAGATCTTGTCTCAAAAAACCAAATAAGGGCCGGGGATTTAGCTCAGTGGTGCTGCCGCCTGCCTTGCAAGCATAAGGTCCTGAGTTCGATCTCCAGTACCAAAATGAATGAATGCATGAATGAATACATACATGCATGCATGCTATAGCATTCTCTTCACTGCAAAGCAGCATCTTTTCTTCACCAAGCCTTGTCTACTTTTTATGATTTTTTTTCTCTAGTGTAATCGATTCTGGCAGTATTTGTGAGCACATTGATTGTTTTTTAGAGAGAACCCTGGAGTTCCCTATGCTGCCATTTTTGGTGTTGTCACTCCTGATGTGGAGATTTTTCAGAATGATGATACTGTTAGCCAGAAGTAAGAAAGTTGGGAGAGAGAATGTTGATTTATGAGTACAAGAAGCATTATTTTGTTTGGACATGATTGTTGGAGCTAAGGTGCTAATGATAAAACCAACCTATTAGTATTTAGTAACAGTTGGGATTCTGGTGCTTGAGTTCCAGAAAGAGCTTAGAGCTGTAAAGAAATCCAAGAAATTTGTACATAGAGGTTAAAATGAAAGTTAAGATTTTCTTGAAAGATTAGATCCCTGGTACTGGGGTGGGGGGAGAAGACTTTCTTGAAAGAGAGGTGAAGGCCAAGTATGGCAGCTTGGAAACACTTTTAATTAAGAAAACATTCACATATATTCAGAAACTAATTTTGTTCCTACTACAAATGCACTTGGTACTAATGCTAAATAAGCACTGGAGATAGAAAAGATCTGGTTGTCTGTCCTCAAGAAGTTACTTTCATATTAAGGAAAACAAACAAGTGCAGTGCCATTTTATAATAAAAGGGTGCAGAGAAATCCAGACATAAGCATATAGGAATATGTAAATAGAAATCAGGAGACACAGAAGTCAGAGAAGGAGAAAAAATAAAGAATGGAGTGGTCTGTGACCTTGATTGCCATGTGAAGATATTGAGAAGGCTGAGGACTCTGAAACATACTACTTTGGCAGTAAGAGGGTAGCATGATTTTCATGAGATAGGTTTTAATTAAGTAGTTTTGATAGCATGGTGGAGATAGAAAATCAGATTATAGAGGGAGTGGTAAAAAAAATTGAAGAAAAAGGGGAAGACAACTTTTTAAAAACTGATATATCTTTAAAAAGAATAGCAAAGTTAAAGCCACTTTATTTTGGAGTAGAAGAGATTCACATGTGTTTTTGGACATTGATAAGACTAGGAGAGAAACAAGGATAGTGAAGAGTCCCAAAAGAGTCAGGAAAGATGGTACTAAGATCCTAGAAGGATCAATGTTTGAGGACTGAGCTGACTAAAGGAAGAGAATGAGATTAATGAGAAAAAATGTTGAGACAGAGGAATTTGAGAAGTTTTACCAGGAAAAGTCTCAGTTTTCCAGGTAAAGCAAAACAGAATCAACATGCTAAGACATTGGCAGGCTTGAAAATACATGACTGAACTTGAGGTAGCATACATTTGTGATGATAGTACTGTTTGATAGTTTACTCATTTCTTTCAACAAATACATATTAAGCATTTTCTGTATACTGAGCACTGCATAGGGTCCTTGGGATTATATCTGTGGACAAAGTAAACAAAATTCTCTGCCCTTGTGTAGGGTATAGGTGAATTGCGTCAAGGGAGACAAATAACTAAATTATTTTAAATTTTTAAAAAATAAACATATGAGGTGAAGTAGAGCTTCTTGGGTCTGGAAAGTGAAAAGGTAAATGAGAAGATTACCCAGATGTAACTATAATTTATATTGCATATGTACTTCTAATTTAAGTCATTGTTTTATTTTTATATAGATTAATAAAAATCTAGGTTAATAAACTATGACCAAGACAGGTATGGCTTTGTTGGAAGCTTTGTGTACTTAATATTGTAGCTATGAGAGAAATAATATATATTAACATTTAAGAGAAAATCAGTTTAGGACCACTTGTAATTAGTTATTTCAAGGTCTTTGGCAAGAGAAAAGATGGAAGGTAACTCTCACATAACTGAAATTCTTTATTTGGTTATGGAAAGAGAATTTGCGTCTGTTTCCAAAAAGATGATTATAGACATAAATTTGTTATCTATATCTAAAGGATGAAACTGTATAGACTGAAAGATCTTTGTATAATAGAAATTAGGTTTTTTTTATGTTTGTACTCATTGTTTTGTATTCTTAAACAGGCATTGGAAAAGTGAAAAGAAAACCTAGTGTTCCAGATTCTGCAACTCCTTCTGATGACAGTTTTGTTGACCCAGGGGAACGTCTTTATGACCTCAACATGCCTGCCTATGTGAAATTTAACTACATGGCCGAGAGAGAAGATGAATTATCATTGATAAAAGGAACAAAAGTGATTGTCATGGAGAAATGCAGTGATGGGTGGTGGCGGGGTAGCTACAATGGACAAATTGGATGGTTCCCTTCAAACTATGTAACTGAAGAAGGTGACAGTCCTTTGGGTGACCATGTGGGTTCACTGTCAGAGAAATTAGCAGCAGTTGTCAGTAACCTAAATACTGGGCAAGTGTTGCATGTGGTACAGGCTCTTTACCCATTCAGTTCATCCAATGACGAAGAACTTAATTTTGAGAAAGGCGATGTAATGGATGTTATTGAAAAGCCAGAAAATGACCCAGAGTGGTGGAAATGCAGGAAGATCAATGGGATGGTTGGTCTGGTGCCAAAAAACTACGTTACCATTATGCAGAATAATTCATTAACTTCAGGTTTCGAACCGCCACCTCCACAGTGTGATTATATTAGGCCTTCACTCACTGGAAAGTTTGCTGGAAATCCTTGGTATTATGGCAAAGTTACCAGACATCAAGCAGAAATGGCATTAAATGAAAGAGGACATGAAGGAGATTTTCTCATCCGGGATAGTGAATCTTCGGTAAGTTGATCTTCAAAGGTAAATGGAAACAGAGTTCTGGGTATTAAAAAGAAGATTGGAGAGGTGGGCCGGGGATTTAGCTCAGTGGTTTCACTGCCTGCTGTGCAAGCGCAAGGACCCAAATTCGATCCCTGGTACCCAAAAAAAAAAAAAGATTGGCGAGGTTAAATGGCTTCCTTAAAGTTAACCAAGTTGTAAGCTTGAACATACGTATAAGTGTTCTGAAGTTAAAGTCAGTGTTCTTTATAGGTCTGTCTATTTTGAATAATAGATACGCCTATAGATAGCTGTAGCAGTGTATTGGTCACATTCTCAACTCTGGGATAAAACACCTCATACACAAAACTTAAGGAGAGGTTTATTTTTTTGTCTCATGGTTTCAGAGGGTTCACTTCATGGTTGGCTGGCTCCAAGACAGAAACAGCATGGTGGAAGGGTGTAGTTAGAGGAAAGCTGCTCATCCCATGGCTGGTAGGAAGCAGAGAGAGGAAGAACCAGAGGAGAGATATACTCTCAAGAGGCATGCCCCCAGTGTTCAGGCCCCAGCTTCTAGCAGCACATTCAACTAGGAACTCATCAGTGGATTAATTCACTGATCAGTAGAGTGTTCCCATGAGCCACTCACCTTTCAAAATCCTGAACACATGAGACTCTTGGGGGACATTTTAAGTCACAACCATAACAAGCAGTGATACCATACTGGGATATTTGGCCTTGCCAATAATTATCTTGGTTTTGCTTTCCTGAAGTATTTTCTGTTGCAGTAAACTGAAAAATGGAGAAAATGGAAGTTGGCTTCTTTATTGAAAATAGAGTAATGCAGTAGATTAAATTGGGAAAACATTTCTTAAATTGTTAGTGGATGCCATATATAAGAAGATAATCACTGTAGTCCTTATAGGAAATCCCTAAATTAAAAAATTTATTTTCAAGCTTCTTCATAAATTGGTTGTTTAGAAGTTAAACTACATTTTAATTATGTACCTCAAAAATCTGTTTTAATACTGTTTGAAATGGAGTTGCAATGAGAGGTAAATTACATTGCAGTATTAATAAAGCAAACTCAAACCATGAAAATTGAAGAATAATATAGCTAGTCTCTTGAGTATTATCTAGATATTGAAATTTGATTCTGCTCATGTTCCTTAAAAATTACCTTTCTTTGGGCTGGGGATTTAGCTCAGTGGTTCCGGCGCCTGCTTTGCAAGCACAAGGTCCCGAGTTCAATCCCTGGTACCAAAAAAAAAAATTGCCTTTCTTTGATAAATAGTATTGCTGCATTGTACTTTCCCACTTAGCAAGTCATGATTAGTACGGTCTTTGTGTGAATGTAGTTGTACAAAAATGAATATGTGTTTACATAAAAGAGTGAAAGAAAGTCAGAAGGAATTATATGAAAGAGAGATTGAGATTAACTTCCTGATAGGAATCTCAGGGATTCCTCTCAGAATGGCAGGTGGTTAGTAATAGGGAAGAGTATTGGGATCCATTTTCTTTTTCTTTGTTTGTTTTTGCTACTGGGGAATCGAACTTGGGTCCTTGCGCTTATGCAGCAGGCAGTGAAACCACTGAGCTAAATCCCCAGCCCTCCATTTTCTATTACATGCCTGATCTGTCTTGTTGTTTGAAACTTTGAGTAAATAAAAAGAGGCTCAAGTCCAGACTTCAGATTTCTCTCTTAAAATTGAAAGAACTGCTGCCAGCATGAAATCCCTTCTGCAAGGCAGCATTCACAAATGAGAGGTGTTCAGTTTCTTTAGATTGGCCATATACTGTCATCCCCTCTGCCCATCTGCCTTGATACCTATTTACATTATTCTTTCGGACCTTGTTGGTATTTGAGTTTATGACCCTCTGTTAGAGTTTAGATTCTTATTTGTGTACCCTTTATATTTGAGAATTCAGAGTGTTATTTCTAACTTAGCTACTCTTAGCTACAGATTGAAAGGGAGTAGAGTGGATGTCTGGTATTTTCTCAGGTGTTCCCCAGTAGTCTGCCTGGAGAGAAGATAGCTCTTGTTCCTTAGATATTAAAGGATTTGCCGTAGTTGTGCTGTGGCCATTATGGGTGTTAAGAAACTCTTTAATACATGGGTTTGAATCCTACTTTTGTTGTTAACTAGATGGGTGATACTGAGCCAGTTAGCTTCTCTGAGCCTCAGTTTTGGCATCTATAAAAAGGGTTTGTTTTGAGGAGCAAAGGAGATAATCTGTAAATAATTTAGCATAGTGCCTAGTACTTAGTGCTCAGATTCTGACAGTTATCAGTTTAACATAAAAATGCTTTCAAATGTTTATGGTTTTCAAAATGTTTACTATCATTTTTTTTCTCTTTTAGCCAAATGATTTTTCAGTATCATTAAAAGCTCAAGGGAAAAACAAACATTTTAAAGTCCAACTAAAAGAGACCTTCTACTGCATTGGGCAGCGTAAATTCAGCACCATGGAAGAACTTGTAGAACATTACAAAAAGGCACCAATTTTTACAAGTGAACAAGGAGAAAAGTTATATCTTGTCAAACATTTATCATGATACTGCAACTCAGAATTGACTGTTAATACAGCTTTATTCCTCATGTAATTGAAGACTGAGAAAATGTTGGTCCAATCCTGCTTGATTGGAAATTGCTGTTTCTAACTCTGTATGAGAATTGATTATAATACATAAGTATTTTTGTTATCACTCAGCCCATACATATATATTATATATGCAATGCATCTGCATAGAACAATTTCTTATTCTTGGTCTTTTATTTTAAAGTTTTCTTTGCTGTTTTTCTCTTTGCTTCTAATATTAAGGTTTTGTATTTTGAGAAAAAAAATCAAATAATGCAGATCAGAAGTCTGTGTGGAAGAATTCCTTTATTGCCTTTCTTGTATTTCCTTCTAAAGGCCCCTGCTAGTTCTGCCATAGTTTCTCTTCATATAAAATTATATCTATATAATGACATATGCTAAAGTAAATTTCTTGGAAAGTGTTATCTTTTCTGTGACTAGCAATAATAAATGGAAAATTAGAAATTATTTTCAGGTTATTGTATTTGTCACCACCCATTGTAAATAATCAAGTAGGTTGTGTATGCCATTATTTTTTTTAAATGTCTTCATTGTCTACAGTATACTACAAAACAAGTGGGACATAAGTTAGAAAACATGTTACACAATTTAATTTATAGTTGAAACAAAAATTTAAATTCTTATTTTCTTTGGTGCTTTTTTGCATCTGGTTGTTTGAGAGAGTTTCTGAGACACTGAACTTTTAAAACAGTAAGGGATGCCCTAGTGTTACTTTACCAAAGTTTCTTATATTAGTACATGTTATGTTTAAATCAGTGTGAAAAATGTTATAGCCAAGTTTTGGGGAAATAGAAAATGAGGTATATGGATTTTTTTTCTTCCCTAAACATACATCAGTCATTGTAAGGGATAGTGTGGTATTTCCTATTTTCATTTCCCTCTTTCAGCTTTTTTTTTTTTTTAATAAAGATGCTGGGGATTGAACCCTGGCAAGCAAGCACTCTGCCATCAGCTACATTCCTAGCCTCTCCTTGTTTTAGTTTTGAGTTTTGTTGACTGGGACACTAACATTAATGTATATGCCTAATGGAAAAATGAAATATGCTTATGATTGGATAAAATTGAATTATTTTAAAAATCTTATATTTTTGTTTGCCAAGTAGGAGTTTTAGGGTATAAATGAGAGAATTGAGGCTAGTTCGACAGGCCACAGAAGAAAACTGGTTATATTTTATGGTCACACTTTTCATTAATCTGGAAATTTAAATTTACACAAAGAAATCATCAATATTTTACTTAAATAATTATTAAAACCATATAACTTAGTAAACAATAGAAAGTCATGTATTTTCAAACATATCCCCAATGCTGCCCAAGCATGTGAATATTTCTACCCTTTGCTGTTAGAAAGACATTTAATTCAGGGCTGAGGATTTACCTCAGTGGTTCTGCTGCCTCCCTCGCAAGCGCAAGGTTCCAAGTTCGATCCCTGGTACCAAAAAAAAAAAAAAAAGATTTAATTCACTAGAACTACTGACTATTATAAGATTTAATGTGTGATTTATGGAGGTTTTTTCATTGTTTTAATTTTTATTATTTAAATCAAAATCATTTAAAGACTGCCACTGGGTGGCAGTCCTCCCTTCTCCCAGTAAACAACAGAGGTCAGCAAATAAGACATTTGCTGTATAAAATTTCATCTTTATAGCATCTGCTTTAAAGCCTTTTAGTTCATATTTCAATATCTGAGTGTTATTGTTTATTTAGGTAATTATTAGATAATTACCTTTGCTTTGTTTAAGATAATTATTAGATAAGTTTCATGGATATAAAAGTTATATATCTTACCTTATTGCTGCAAAAGTCACATGAATATATAGGAAAATAGTTAAAAAGTGGTTGTAGAATGACTGGTAAGCATCTTTTTATTTTTAACGTATTTAATGATGATGATGATGGTTTCTTTTTATTTTCTCTTTGTGGTTCCCCAGTCTTCCTTATGAAAAATAATGTTTATTTTAAAAGGAGCAGTTAATATTTTATATCACAGAAGTGAGCTATTTATAGCAAACCCTTGCTGAGCTGATATTAATAAAGCAGAAGTTTGAGAAAGTAGCTAAGAATAGAGTAGCACTGGAAGCAGAATGCATGTTCCTGTGCCATAATGAGATTTATTGTAGAGTCGGTGTGGTGGCACACACCTATAACCACTTTTGGTGGTTATAACCACTTTATAAGCACTTAGGCAGAGCCAGGAAGATCACTGAGTTCAATGCCAGCCTGCGCTGCATGACTCTATAGTGAGTTCAAGCCCAGCCTGAACTATATAGTGAGCTGTTTCAAAAACAAAGGATTTCTTACAGCTGTAGAGTTCCAGATGACACTTTTGTGTTAATATTTATTATCTTCTCATTTGTGGAATAAAAACCTTGGTAGGAACTACTTTGTCCTTCAACATGTTTTCAGGTTTGTTTGTTTTTTAAGTGTTAAACCATTTCTTACACTAATGGCTATTTTTATAAGCATGTATGTTATTTGAAGCAGTTTTCTTAAGAATTGGAACAACTTTATAAAAGAGCTACATAGCTAGGTAGTAACAGGACTTGTATTAGAAACTGGGTTTCTTCATTCCCAGCCTGGTGTGTATATCATGACATTATTGCTCTTTGTGTGCTAGTTTTAAACTAGGAAGGTCCTGGAAAAAGCAGTATCACAGAAAATTTCTGCATATGAGGTGATTAGTTACCAAATTTTAATATACGTAACACGTGTAATCCTTCCCAGCCACTTCTACAAATAACATGTCCAAAATCTTTGAAGTTTTGTAGAACATATGCATAAACATATATGTATTTAATAACAAAAACAATTGCTATTATATCCCTTATTTGGCCATAAATCCTTAGGGTTCGGCCCATAAATTCACAGGTTTATATAACACACATCACACTATATACAGCTTTAGCACAAGCACCTAGCACCTCTAAAAACTTTCACAGGTCACTAAACAAAATAGGAAAGCCTTTGCCATTGCTAGAATAGGAAGGCCTATTTTAGAATAAGGTCATTCTTACAGATAAATGACATGTAAATTATTTCCAGCTGTTATGCTTTGTCATGTAATCCAGCAATAGCAAAGAAGCAAGGTTGTCATTGTGTACTACAATACCTTTGTGAGAATTAGGGAAAAAACGTCTTTTCCTTCTGGCAGTCCTAGCATCTTCTTACCAAGAAGTCTGGAATTTGTACCCCCACCTCTTGGCAGGTGTTTTGTTCAGGTTACAGCCAAACAGTGGCCTTATACAGAATACTGTTCAACCTACGCAGTGCTTTAGCTTAGTTTGGTGGCAATGCCTGTTGTCCCAGATACTCAAGAGGCTGAGGCACAAGGATCCTTTGAACCCAGAAGTTCAGGCCAGTCTACGCAACATGGTTAACCCCCACCCCCTTTTTTTTAAAGTTAACATTTTAAAGTTGGAATTTCACATAAAATTCAATTATGGTTTTCTTTTAAAAATGAGAAGCTGGCAACACTGAAATTGAATTCCTTAAGTTAGCAATCAGATGGAACCTAGTAAAGGTGATACTCGATTTTTACCAATGTATCTGCTGCAAAAGTTCACAGTATCATACAATCTATCTCCCAACCCTTATAGCATCCCCTAGTTCATATCTCTAAATGGAGTTACTCCCCATTTTTCCTGTTATATGGAGATTTTTGGCTTGGAAGCTGCAAATTCTCACTTTAGAAACAAGATGCATTATCCAAATCAACAGATTGGGAATGTAGCATTATAACATGTTTCAACTTTTCCATCTCAATTCTTAGCTAGAAGGTAAGGGAGTCCTTTGTAATCTTGCATAGATAAGACTTTTAGCAGTTTCAAATTCACAACTGTGGTCACATTTTCCTAAGGGACATTGAGGATAGGATAGATAACATCCTCCTTTTGTGTTTTGAACAGCTTCCTGTGGACTTAAACAATGGCAGACTACTAATGGGGGGCATTGTTTAGTTTATTGCAAGGTAGGAAGGATTGGCTCACTCCTGATAAGCTGATTCTGTTGGTGTTTAGCAAGTTTATGTGACTCAACACTGCCATATTCTAAACTTTGACAGACAAGCAAAATATGCACGCTCCACACCCTAATTTCTTGCTGTTACATGAACTAAATTAACTGACAAGAATTGAAATGTGTATATCTAGTTTACTTATGAGGTGCTCTTTTGATTTGAAAGTACACATATGCCAAGACTTGTCTAATGAGTAGAACAAACTAGGGTTGGTGTTTTAAAAAGCAAGAGGAAAAGTTTCAGTTATCATTAGCCATGTTCACAGATGTGTTTTACACCAAAGTGTCTTTAAGAATAGTTTGCTGTCTAGAGCAATTTCTTTATATCAAATATTTCAGAATTGGCCTGCCTGATACCTACAGTGGCTTAGCACAAAAATTTATGTTACCTGCAGGATCGACTGATTTTTAAATGTTTCTATTCAAATTATTTAAAGCACATGGATGGCTGGTCTCATTATTTTGGAATAATGTTGCAAATTTTATTTGTAATTATAATAAAAGGCACAGTACTCAGTTCCCTCTTTCAATATTTTTTTTGTTTTATCCCTCATGGAATAAATGACTTTCAGAAAGGAAAAATGTATTAGTAGATACAAAGCAGATATAAAAGATACTTAATGTATTTAGTTGCTTTAAGTAAACTTTTGGGTTCAGATAATGTACATCTTAGACTATGAAGAAATGACACCAGAAAGGGACTGTTAGATGGGTATTTAAATACATGTTCAAGACAAGAATAGTTATTAAATTTCTATTTTTGAGCACTTAGGGAGGAAGTTAGCATCCCCTGAGTAACTATAACTTCCCTAGAGCAAATCATGTCAGACAAACTTGTTTTGATATGTTTTCTGGACTACAGATAGACCTGAGGAATGTTATAGAAAACGGACACTGATTTCATCTGGGGATATGATAATTACTTGGTGTCAAAATGAAAAAAAATTTTTTTTGAACTGTTGTAGTTTGGATCTTGAATATCTTCAAATGCCTCATGTGTTGAAGGCTTAGTCCCCAGCCCACAGCACTACTGGGGTGTGGTGGAACCTTTAAGAAGTGGAAGGAAGTAGAAGGAAGTTAAACTCACTGGGGGCATGCCCTTGGAGCGGCTATTGTAGCTGGTTCCCTCCTCTGTCCTCTCTCTCTCTGCTTCCTGGACACCGTATGTTCCTGCTATGGTGGACTGTCCCACCACAGGCTCAAAATACCAAGGCCAAGTGACTGGGCTGAAATCTCTAAAGCTGTGAGCCAAAACCTTTCCTCCTTTTAAGTTGATTCTCTGAGGTATGTAGGTACTTTTGTCCCAGTAACAGAAAGCTAACTAACACAGCTGTTCTGTCATTGTATATCTGCATGTTTAAATAGCTATTGGAGGTATTTATCCAACCAACTTTTAATATTTTATTGCTAAGGTGCAGGCTATTCAGGTGCAGGTGTAAGGAAAATGGACAAGGATTTCATCAAACTGGCTGTAGTGGTGCAGTGCCTACTGGAGAGGGGCCCGGAATTGAAAAGAGTGGATTCATCATTCAAGAGTAAGGTTGGAGGTGTTTATATAGCATGATCAAGGGAGATCTTGGATAAAATTGACCTTTGAGCACATTGTGTGCTCTAATTAACAGAACTAACTAGTGATTGAATGAAAGATAGCAACCAAAATTACTTGGAAATTATGTAGATCATTATTACAGATCATTGTTTCTGGTTTTCAAATTTATTAAAATGGTATTTGTTTTATTTAAACATAGAACTTTTTTTTTTTTTTTTGGTACCGGGGATTGAACTCGGGTCCTTGCACTTGCAAGGCAGGTGACAGAACCACTGAGCTAAATCCTCAGCCCCTTTAAATATAGAACTTTTAACTACAAAGGGCTGTTCGAGTAAACCCTGGTTCTCCATCTCAGTAACTATTGCTGAGAGATGTCAGAGAGAAAAAATGTATAACTACAAAAATATAACAGTTTGGCAGTGTTAAGTAAGGATTCTAATCTTATAAAGAAAGAACTGAGGTCAAGAGAGGTTAAATTCTTGATCACCAGACAATAAATATTAAGAAAGAAATTGAAAAACCAAAAGTATGTTCAGAAGAGGTGAAAAGGAGAGGTGGGAGCTCAGAAAATTGGAGCTTGACAGTGCGGTAGAAATACACTTGGAGCAGACTTGGTGAAATTACAAGAGTCTTAAAAGGAATTCCACTGTTGAAATTCCCTGTGTTACTACCCCCTCTTCCAAAGTGAAACTGGATTACAACTAAATGTCAGATGTGCTAAAACACAGAACATAAATATTTAGGAATCTTGGTGCAAAGGGAAAGAACTATTCTATGCTAAGAAAGATGAGGAAAGGTTATGGAAACGGAGTAATTGACCATCTAGTCTGGGCCTGGGCACCAAAGACTGTACTGGATGGACTCCAATTCTGTACTCTAGATTCTTCCCTCTCTTCATTGTAGTCCAGTCCCTGTAGGGCACAGAGGTTTTAGGTGTCTCTTCTTTGGCCATCAGACTTCTCCCTCCCTACTGCTTCTTTTTACCTTTCCAGTAAAATCCTTTTATCTGCTTATTTTTCCTTTCATAACTAAATATCAAAGATTTAAGTGGCAAATAGTATAAAACATCCCATTTCTAGACTATACCTGCTTATGATAAATAGGCTCATTCTTCCAGTAGGTCATCCTCAGACATGGAGGATCCTGTAACTCCACGGAAGACTGAAAATTAATCTGAGAAGTGCAGGCAACAGGAGAGGATAATTTGGTTTTGGCATTTGCGTAGAAAGGCCACAACCAATTGGTCAGATGGCATAGAAAGAAGTAACAAGAGAGGACAAACTCACGGGTATCTAGGCAAGGGTGGAGACTAGCAGGTGAGGCATAACTCTCCAGAAATCCTCACTTGGTGACATGGACCAGGCACAAGTGGATGATCTGACCCAGACTTGAGAAAGACTGTCATTCAAAAGCTATGATAGCTGGGTGTGGTGGCGCAAGCCTGTAATCCAAGCACTTGGGAGGCTGCAGCAGGAGGATTGCCATGAGTTGAGGACCAGCCTGGGCTATATAGTGAATTCAAGACCGGCCTAAACTACATAGCAAGACCCTGTCTCAAAAAAAAAAACAAAAAAACACCAAAAAACTATGACAGAGCAGGAGGCTGAGGCAGGAGGATTGCAAGTCCCAAGCCAGCCAAGACCCTGACTCAGATTGAGACACAAAAAGGCAGGCAACATTTTCCTTTAGTGCCCCTTTAGGTATGTCCAGCCTAGGACAGAGACTCCTTGGTGAAAGACTGACAGGATTACCTGGTCAGAGTATAGCAATGCTTGCTGTTCAAGGTTGTCTCTGTAGGGATGCTGGCCCAGGTAGAGCTATCCATCTCTTTTAAGACTTTAAGTTTCCAAGTACAGAAAAATGAATCTTTTCCTTCCTTCCTTCCTTCCTTTCTGTACCAGGGATCAAACTCAGGACCTTGTGCTTGCAGGGCAGGCACAGTGCCACTGAGCTAAATCCCTGGCCCTTCTTATTCTTATGTTTCTTCTGTTTACCTTTTCCTTTTCATCTCCTAATTCAGTATGTATTCCCTTAACCTTTCCAACCCTTGGGCTTTGCTCATGACATTCTCACAGTCAGAATGCTAAGCAATGAACTCATTTTCACTTCTCAAATCTAAAGAGGTACATCTTTGGAACCTTGCATTGAGGTCTGCCTATTCTCTGAGCCTTTGCTAATCTCGGGCCACTCACTCCACTGTGCCTCTCAGCCACACTGAGCGCTCCATTGGTGCTAACTGGAGGCAGAGAAGGTGTGGGAAAAGAACTCGATTTGGATTTCTTGTCTTCATCTCTGACTGGCTTGTGATCTATAGTGAGCCAGTTTCTCTGAACCCTGTGTATTAATTTGATAGAGAATCAGGTCTTCCCTTGCAAGTCTTGTATGAGGTGCATGATGTTACCAAAAAATGTAATGAATATTTAAATATTAGGAAATCTGTATGATGTGTGCCAGGCCTATAGGACAGTTCCTGCAAATGCCAGATATCTAGTTCACGTTAGCTTGTATTGTTAGTGTTTGACATGCTCAGAAGTGGATTTAGTAGAGAAATCAAGAAGCTAGGACTGAGAGAACAAAGGTAAGAGTGGAGACAGATATTGAAGCCACGTATGAAGCACTGCCAAATTGGGATGTGCTCAGACCCAAAGGCAAGGACGAACAGGGTTAGATGCCGGCTGACCTGTGATGCTGTACAAGCAACTAGAGAACACAGATGTGGGCATTACTCACAGTACTGGGATCAAGAAGAATGTGCACCAAGTGTTTTGTTTTGTTTTGTTGATACATCTCGTTATGTAGTCCAGGCTGGCCTCGAACTCAAGTGATCTCCTGCCTCAGCCTCCCAAATGCTGGAACTACAGACATGTGCCACCATACCTGGGGCACCAAGTGTTTCTTGACCATGGTGCAGTTTAGAAAAATACAGCCAATGGGGCTGGGGATTTAGCTCAGTGGTTCTGCCGCTTGCCTTGCAAGCACAAGGTCCTAAATTCAATCCCCAGTATCACCACCCCCCAAAAAGAAAAATATAGCCAAAATTTATTTTGTGCCAGATACTGTTGTAAGTGTACTGTCTCGCTCAGTCCTCACAGCAGTCCTGTGTTCAGTGGTATTGTAATTGTCCCCAACTATGAGGATATTAAGGCAGGCCATTTAAATGACTTGCTTAGGGCCGGGGATTTAGCTCAGTGGTTCCGATGCCTGCCTCACTAGTGCAAGGTCCTGAATCCAATCCCTGGACCAAAAAAAAGAATAAATGACTTGCTTAAAGAAACATAAATAGTAAGTGGAGGTTAGGCAGTCTGGCTCATCCTTTTAACTATCTTCTACTAGATACCTTTAACTGGAGGTCTTTCTTTGCTGTTTTAGATGCCAAACCAGAAGATAGGCAGCCAGCAAAGGGCCAGGCATTTAGAGCAAACAAGTCTAACTTTTTGTTACTACTAGTAATATAACAAATGGTTAACAGACCATTTGTAAAGACCTGTGTGTCTGCCACTATGCTAATGTGCTTTGTCTGCATTCTTCAATTCCTATAACATTATGCAAGGCATTATTGTATTTACCATATAGATAAAAATCATGAGGCTCACAGAGTTATTTTCTTCTGCTTTGTATCAAAAGAGCATGACTTTTGCCAGGGATGTAGCACAGAAGCACAGCACCTGCCTGGCAAGCGTGAGATCCTGAGTTTGATTCCTGGTACAAAAAAAAAAAAAAATGCAAACGAGCATGACTTTTTCCATCTCCTCCTCAATCCACAGTTATCTAGCTTTTGATCCAAGGCCTCCACTGAAACTCTGCTTGCTGAGTTTACAAATGACTCCAGTTGCTAAGTCCAGAGGATGTTTTTCAGTGATCAACTCACTGGTCCTCTCCTCTGCATTCTACTGGGATAATCACTTCACTCTTTGTTATTTCCAGGACCACTTCTCTGACCTATTTCTTTCCCTCCCCCCTACTTCCCTATTTCTTTCCTTTGTCCTGGTCTGTAAATGTGGGTCTTCTTTAGGGGCATATTTATAGTCCTTCTCATGTTCTCCTTGGATGATCTTATCACTACCAGTGAAATACTGGAGGCAGGGGAGGCAGAACCATGCCACTGACACACATCATGACAAAGGTTATTTACATACTGGAGAATTCCCTTGCCTGTGTGAGCATCTCAAATTCAAGTGTATCAAGCTGAATAAAGGAATCTTTATCTGCACCACCCCAACCCTGCCTGCCCTGACCCCACCCCATCTTGCTCCTCTCTTATTTCAGTTGAGTTGCTGCCATCCACCCACTTACCCAAACCCGGAACTTGAAAGTCATGTTTGGCTCCTCTTCTCCTGGCGTCTCCCAATCCACTCAGTATTCAGAAGCTGTACATCTATCTCCTGTATCTTAAATATGGTCACATCTCACAGTCATGGAAAACCTAGTGTTGGCCAACAATATCTGTGGCCTAGATGACTGCCACAGTCATCCATCCCTCCCCCACCCCTGCCAACTGTGGCTCCCTTTTCTATTCTCCACCTTAGTCATAAACTCTTAAGACCCAAATGTAGGGAATGCCACAATCAATTTGAGATTTTATTTATTTCTTTCAATTTGAGTTTTTAAACTCTTCCTTTGACCGTCATTATTCTCAGGTCAAACTCAAAGCCTCTCCACAAGACCTTGAAAGCCCTTTGGAATCCTGTTGCTGTCTTACATCCTCATCTCTTACCTTCCACAAACTTCTTATGGTTTCATAAACACAATGCCTGGCTGATTTTTTTTTTTTTTCAGAGTTTAACTCAGCCATAAAGACATCTCCTCCAGGAGGCCTTCTGTTATCCCACAGGCTGAGTCAGATGTTTCTGAGTGCTTCTGTATTCTCTTGTGACTATTTGTTGCTTTTTTTTTTTTTTGGTACCGGGGATCAAACTCAGGACCTTGTGCTTTCGAGGCAGGCAGCGGCACCACTGAGCTAAATCCCCGGCCCTGTCACTGCATTTATTACGTTGATTCATGATTATTTCCATGTGCTTCTTCTCTGATAATTAGGAAGTTCTTTTGAGGGGAGCAATACTCAGGATTGTTGCTTCTGGGGGTGAGCACTACTGCTCCACTGAAATGAGCTGCCAACCGGTATCATAAACTCAGTAATGAATCTCGGTAATGATTCAAAGGAATGGAGTTTTTAAAGAGGAAGACACTGTATTTGTAAGAAGGAAAAAGCAGAAGACTGAAAGCTGCCCTGAAGACCCGGCAAGGGCATTCCAGAAAGATCCATTCCTGTGGGCCTTTGTCCCCAGTTTCTGTTTAATCGATGATAAGAGCTTCCCTCCCAGGTTGGTACCTAGAACTTGTCACAACCTGATTGGCTCTCTGGACTGTCATGGATGAATTTCAGGCCATAGGACTCTAACACAAGTGACAGGATTTATGTGCACATTCCTTTGGTGGGCTTTGTTCTTTTTTTTTTTTTTTGGTACCAGGGATCGAACTTGGGACCTTGTGCTTTCGAGGCAGGTGCCCTAACCACTGAACCCCAGCCCACTTTGGTGGGCTCTGATTTCTCCTTGCCCATTTGTCCTTGTCAGGGCCTTATCTCTGGGATTTATAGGTTGCCTAGGAGGAGTCTTATAAAATGGCAATTTAAAGTTAGTAAGGGAATGTGCGTTATCTAGTGCAGCAATATAGTGCCCTAGAGTGGGAATATATATACAGTAATACCTCAGTTCACAAACACTTCTGTTTACACACAATGCAGTTCATAAACAAAAGTGTTCGGCAGAATTTTGCCTCCATTTGCAAACTCTGCATTGGGTGACAAACACAACCAGACAAACAGAACCATCTTCCCCATAATAATAAAACAAATTCAGTTCGTAAACTGAGGCACTACTGTATATTTTTATATAGTTTTCCTCTAAGTTAGCAGTCCCCTTCCCCTTTTGTCTCCTTTCCAACTTATTGAGGTAGAGAGGGTGGCTATCTTGGTTTCCAGAACTTGGCTTCCCCTGTGTCAGCCCTCCTGATCCTTTGATGTAAGTCCTAATGCCATTTGGTATCTTTCTTTGTCTGCTTTCTTCTATCTTTGTCCTTTTAATTGCTCCCTCCAGCAAAGTTTTTTTGGGGGGGGGGCGTACAGGGGATGGAACTCAGGTCCTTGAGCTTGTGAAGCAGGCGGCAGAACCACTGAGCTAAATCCCCGGCTCCATCCAGCAAAGTTTTAACTTTCCAGTCAGGATTAGCCAGAAAGCCTAATGAGATCTTTATTCTCTTCTTTCCTTGCCTAAAATAACCCCCTTCCCCTACAAGATCTAACACATAATAGGCCCTCAGAATATTTGTTAAATGGATAAATATGTGACTAATTTTCCCAAGGTTATACTGCAAATGCTAGAACCAAAACATGTTCTACTCTAAAACTCACTTTCACTTTGGGTTTGTGTGTGTATGTGGGGGGGGGGGAGAGGAGAGGGAGGGAGAGGGGGAGAAGGAGAGAGGGAGGGAGAGAGAGGAAGAGAGAGAGAGAGAGACTTTATTTTAATGGGGCCTGTGCTGCAGCACAGGAGGGCTAATACTCAAACGGGAAGAGCTGGAGTTTAAGAGGTCAAACTCAATTATAAGGTTTTCTTTCCAATTTTTAAAATGGATTTTAATTATTTTAAGTAATACATTTCCATAATTCAATAATCAAACAGTATAAAAAAGATATTCAGTAAAGTCTTATTCCCATTTTTCATGTTCATTTTCCCAGTTTCACTCCCTCTGCCTCAAGATAATCAAGGTTAGTTTCTTGTATCTCCTTCTAGGTTTTCTTTTGGCAAATGCATGTAAATATGAAACTGTGTAGTCTTAGCCTTTTAGAAAGGTTTTGAAGGACATCCCTGTGATCCCAGCACTCTGGAGGCTAAGGCAGGAGGCTCACCATGAGTTCAAGGCCAGCCTGGACTATATAGCAAGATCTTGTCTCAAAAAATTTAAATAAATAAATAGGTCTTAATTAAAAAAAAAACTTTTCTATTTTTTTTAAAGTAGGTATAGATTAGCAAAAAGAGCTAATCAGTACCCAGGCTGAATAAACACTGAAGGAAACTTGGAAAAGTACAGCTATGTGATGAGGGGAAGATTCTTGTGCCTGCTCATTGACCTCTAAGGACACCCTCTCCAACCTAACAGATCCTGTGCTACAGAGATTTCCCCTGGGTAGATTCTCAAGCTCCCCAGAGTTGCCTTCTTCTAAGCCACTCCCTTGCTGCAATATCTGGGTTTGGGTGGAAAGGAGGGTGCTGCACAGCCCGGCCCTTCTGTGCTATTTGGGCCGACTCCTCTTTTCAGAACAAAACTGCAACTCGGACCTCAGCTCCAACATCTGCGATCTGAAGCATGATGGCTGGACTGTAAAAGGAAACAATGTTCCAGGTCAAACTAAGTCTGTCAAACAGACCCTCACAGTGGTTCTAAAAGGCGTCTGGACAAGTCTTATCATGTGGCTTTTCTACTCCCTGATTCCATGTTTGCTGACAGGTAAGTAGGAATTAGAATCCATCTGATAGTTTGGACCTCGAATATAGGTTAAGAAAGTGAAAAATACTTTCCTGGGACTTGGGATTGAAATGCATGTGTAGAACATTGTGTTTTTCTCTTGGTCATTCCAGAAAAGGTACTCTGTAACATTTAAAAAATAAATTGGGTTTGGGGCATTTTCTTTGCCATTTAGATTACATACTTTGCTCCACTTTTAACTATTTGTACTTCCTGATTTATTGTTCCAAAATTGCATGTTGATGTTTCTTTATATCAAATGGCATTTAAGAAATATTCCCAATTTTAACACTCCAAGATTCTAGTCATTTGCAGTGTCAGTGGGAGCATCAGGTTTCTCTCTTTCTCTCTCTCTCTTTTCACAAAAGTATAATTATTCTAAAATAGGCAACAAATCTGTGCAATGGCAATCTGCAAATGTTTAGAAGTGGCTCAAACATCAAATGTACCTTGTTCCTTCCCATCCTCTAAACCTTCACCACTCTCAATTAATTAATTGCTCTGTACATAGTGTCCAAATTCTTTTTTCCCTCCCATGACCCAGTCCATTCAGGCCCCACCTTGTATTTATTTGACCCTATTCCTTACCATTCCTTGAAAACATACACTGAAGGCTGCCCGCTATCTTCAGGGTTAGTATATTATACTGTCACTTCCTCCTCCTTGCCTCTATTATAATTTTCCACCAGAAGAACCATCTCTAGTTCCTTTTCCTGTCCCAAACCCACTCCCATTTTCATTCGAGATCCTTTCTTCCATAGATCCTTCCCAGACCTCACTTGCTTCTTTAACCCTTGACCCCATGTGCTTTAGCTTTCGGAGGTTATTTCATTTTTCAGCACTGGTCTGAGACAAAAGCCTGCGTCTTTCCTGGTGTCCTTAAACCCCTAACACAGGCTGAGTAAGTTGCTTGTTTGGTTAGGTTAGTTGGTTGTTTCTTGTTGGGATCAAAAAAAAGTCAGGGAAACATTCCTCCACTGAACCAAAGGGAGAAGATGGGAAGTAGAATGAAAAGTAGAAAGGTCAGTATTTTTTTTACCTGACAGTTACTTCAATAAATTCAGTCTTTAAAATCTTATTTTAAAAATTCCTGTTTCAACAGACCTGGAGGTGAGTGTGCTCTTTGGACACTTACAAATTTACACAGAAAAAAAATGGTGGAAACCACAGGATGTCAGAGTCAGAAAGATTTCTCTGTGAGTGTTGGCTCTATCACTTACCACATGAGTAACTAGATCATGTACCATCAATGTTCTCATCTGTGAAATGGTCATAATAGCCACCTTAAGGTTGTGAGGTGTTAGATAAGATGATTTAACAAATAAAATCATTTGAAGACTTTAACGTCTGTTACCCCAAATATTAATTATTTTTATCTGTTGGTGATGAAAATATGCTGGTATTGGCAAAAATAATTTGTTTTAACTGAGATTGCCTTTATGGATTCTCTAGACTGTGTGGGTTCCTGCGATGAATTCTGCAAATTCTAAATGAACTACCATCTGTAACTAGAGAGATGGATGGGTAGATTTATTGCTTTCTTTCATAGAAATAATTTGTCTTGCTTTGTCCCTTACAAATAATAGTGTGGTTTAGGAATCTGATCCTTGCTGTCAGTAATAATAACAGTAACAAGGATGATCACAATTGCTATTTCTGAGTACACACTGTCCTTAAGGTTAACAAAAATGTTCTCTTGACTTCTTACATCAATCCATTAATGTAATTAATCTCCATTTTACATACTAGGAAACAGACACAGAAAGGCTCAGTTATTTGTGCAAATATGTATACATCTAGTAAGTGGGACACTTGGGATTTGACTCCAGTTTGGTCTGCTCCAGGGTCTGTGCCCTTTGTATTTCTGTGCAGAAGCTGAGACATTAAAACAGGCCAAAAAAGGGAGGAGGGACAGAGGAAATAAAGATGATGCTTCCCTTTCCCTTGCATTTGCGTTAAAGGTTGTTGGAGGAAAAGGTGGCGGAGGAGGACCCAAACATGCAGAGTTTACTTTCTACCCAGTGGGGGTCCCTGCCAGGAAGAGAGGCAAATATTTCCGCCTGAAACCTGAGCCCAACAGCTCTGTGGTAGAAAAGTAGCTTTCATGATATCTCCCTTGCACTGACCCAAGATTTTAGAAGACAGGGGCTGGGGATTTAGCTCAGTGGTTCCACCGCCTGCCTCGCAAGCTAAGGACCCTAGTTTGATCCCCGGTACAAAAAAAAAAAAAAAAGATTTTAGAAGACAGATTTGTAGCATAAACCTTAGAGCAGCAAAAAGGACTAATTTAAGATGAATGAAAGATTGAGAAGTCAGGCCTAGGTTAATTTCCCTGAGAGCCAAGTCTTCGTTCACTTGTTCAATTTTTAATCCATTTAGCATTTTTGAGCACTTTTATATGTCAGGTTCGGGGCTGTGCCAATTATAGAGATGAACAGTCCCCTTGTTTTCAGAGAACATAAAACCTCTGGAAAACGCACTAAAGTATTTGGCATCTGGGGATTTAGATGTTTTTAACAATACTATTTTCTCTTTCTCCCTTTCTCCTCCTCCTCCTCCTTTCCCCCCACCTCTCTTTCCTCTTTCTTTTTTGTACTGAAGATTGAACCCAAGGGGTTCACACTGAGCTACATACATCCCCAGCCCTTTATTTATTAATGTTTTGTTTTTGGGGGGGGGGTTTGGTACCGGGGATCGAACTCGGGTCCTTGCGCTTGTGCAGCAGGCGGTGAAACCACTGAGCTAAATCCCCGGCCCTTTATTTATAAATTTTTAATTTAATTTTTTTTTGTCCCGGGGATTGAACTCAGGACCTTACGCTTGCTAGGCAGGTGGCGGCACCACTGAGCTAAATCCCTGGCCCAATTTTTAATTTTTTCAAAGTTTAAGATAGGTTCTCACTATGTTTCTAAGTTTCCTAGGTTGGGTTTGAGCTCCCTATCCTCCTGCCTCTGCCTAAAACTTACAGGCTTACAGGTGTGTGCCACCACACCCGACTCACATTTGTAACTATTTTTTAGCTTTTTTTGGTACCGGGGATCGAACCCGGGTCCTTGTGCTTGCGCAGCAGGCGGCGAAACCACTGAGCTAAATTCCCCGCCCTAGTGGTTCCAAGCCTTGAATGAACATCGGAATCACCTCGGGAATTTTTGAAAACAGAAATGCCAAAGACTTCACAGAGATTCTGAATTAATCAAGGTGCTGCCTAGGTATTGGGATTTTTCAAAACTCCGGGGGTAGGCCACCTTAGAGAAGTGCCTGACAAAGTGCCTGGCAGGAAACATACAAGATGAGACAGGTGCACCTTGTAAGTAATGGAGTGCTTTTTAAAAAGTGGTATAGTAATGGGGGACGTTAACCAGGAGTGATGGTACATGCTGGGAGGATGAAGCAGGATGATTGCAAATTTGAGGCCAGCCTTAGCAAGATCCTGTCTCAAGATTTAAAAAGGGCTTGGAATGTAGCTCAATATAAAAGCCCTGGGTTCAATTTTCTTCATAACCCTCCCAAAGGTGGGGGCCTAAATGCCACATAGTATCCTGCAATAGATCCTGAAGCAGAGAAAACAGAACAAAAGACAAAACAAAACAAAACAAAAAGCCTTAATGGAAACATTAGCAAAATCCAAATAAAGTTTGGAGTTTAGTTACAGTAATGTATCCACTTAGTTCCTTAGTTTTCATAAATGTATCATGGTAACATATTTGCATTGGGGGGAAACTGAGTGAAGGGTATATAGGAACTCTGTGTACTTACTTTCACAGCAAGTTTTCTATAGATCTAAAGTTATTCAAACTTTAAAATTCTATTTTAATTTAATTTAATTTTATTTTTTTGGTACCAGGGATCAAACTCAGGACCTTGCACTTGCAAGGCATGCGGCAGAACCACTGAGCTAAATCTCTGGCCCTAAAATTCTGTGTTTAAAAAACATGGAAAAGGGTAGGGGAGGGAACAAGCCAACTAGACACAGGAATTAATCTGAAAGTGTTTCCAAATACCAAAGCTGGAAAAATTTGAATAACAAAACAAATAACAATAGTGTTGGATTTTAACCATAGAATAAAATAAATGTATATGAGTCCATACAGATATAAATAAATGAGTGAGGCTGGGTGCGGTGGTTGAGGCAGGAGGATTGCTGTGAATTCAAGGCCAGCCTGGGCTACACAGTGAGTCCAAGACCAGCCTGAATTATTGAGTAAGACCCTGTCTCAAAAAAACCAAAATAAATAAATAAATATTGAGAAGAAATGGCACTTCCTTACAAGAGAATTTCAATTAAATAAGAAATCACTATTAGAATGTAACAGCAATAATTGTTGTAGGGAATATCTACAAATATGATGTTGAAATTAATGGGTGAGTGTGAAGAGAAACAGACTATTTACATAATCTCACAGTATCTCTCTCAGGGTATTTATTAACTCCAAACTAAAAATTACCACCTTTACAGTGGAGACACTTCCCCTTAATCAGGTCATCAAGATTAACATCACTGGGCCTGGGATTTAGCTCAGTGGTTTCGTCGCCTGCTGCACAAGCGCAAGGACTGGAGTTCAATCCCTGGTACCAAAAAAAAAAAAGATTAACATCATTAGTAATAAGACACAGTGACATAATGTACTTCTTGCATGTACATGACAAAAATATATAACCTCAATCAAATCATGTGAAAACATCAAACAAACCCAAGCTCAGCTGACCCTTACTCTTCAGAAATGTCAAATCATAAAAGACAAAGAGACTGAGAGCAAGGAAGGGATTACTGTAACTAGATATGATAACTACATGGGAAATTCTGGACTGGTTCCTGGAGAGGGGACATATTAAGGGGAAAACTGGTGAGAATTGAATAAAGGCTGAGGTTTATTTAATGATGTTGCATCAGTATTAATATTAGTTTTCATACTATGGTTATGTACACTTAGAAGGCTGAGGGAAGGGATAAGTTGGCAGAACTGCGTTTCTTCTAAAGGCTCTAGAGGAGAATCTGCTTCCTTTGGCTTTTCCAGCTTCTACTGGCCACCTGCGTTCCTTGCTCATGTCCTCCTTCCATGGTTTGTACGCACCATTCTTTGTTTAACTACTCATCTCTGAAAGCTATGTGGGCTAATTTCAGTTTCACTATGAGCATTCATATGCAGGTCTTACATGATAAAAACTTTTCATTTCTCTAGAATAAATGCTTAAGAATGCATTTGCTAGGTCTGACAGTAATTGCTGTTTAGTTTTACAAAATCCTGGCAAGTATTTTCCAGAATGAGTGTTACCATTTTTACCAACAATGTGTGAGGGATCCAGTTTCTCTCCCTCCTGACCAGTGCTTGGTTTTGTTAATCTAAATTTTTTGTCTTTCTAATAGTTGTACAGTGCTACCTCATTGTGATGCTAATTTGCATTTCTCTAATGTTAAATATCTTTTCATGTGCTTGTTTGCTATCTGTATATCCCCTTTTCATGTTCGATGCCTTTTCAAGTCTTTGGCCCATTTCCTAATGGAATTGTTTGATTTTCTGCTGTTGAGTTTTGAGAATTTTTCATGTTTTCTAGATACTAAATATCTTTGAGATAATAGCTTGCAAAAATTTTCTCCCACTGTGTAATTTGTCTTATCCTCTTAATGGGGCCTTTTACAGAGCAAAAGTTTTTAATTTTGATGATTCAATTATACATTTTTTTCTTTTAGGATTTTTACTTGTTAAATCTAAGAACTCTAACTTTAAATTTTTTTTTTTCTAAAAGCTTTAGAATTTTATCTTTTACATTAAGTCTATGGTCCATATTGGGTTAATTTTTACATAGGTGGAGGCTCACTTTTTTTTATGAGAAGTGTCCAATTGTTCCAGTATTATTTATTAAGAAGGCTATCTTTCTTCCATTGAATTATTTTTGTACCTTTTGTCAAAAAGACAGTTGAGCATATTTGTGTGAATCTATTTCTGGGATCTGTTCTGTTAATCTATGAGTCTGTCCTTTTGTCGGTACCAGACAGTCTGACTTACTGTAAGTCTTGGAATTGGGTAGATTGATTCCTTCATTTTATTCGTTTTCAAAATTGTTCTTAATTGGGCTTTGAGTGCAGTGTGGTGGTAGAGCACATGCTTAGTGTGCACAAGGGCCTAGGTTCAATCCCCAGCACCCCAAAAATTGTTTTAATTATTCCAGTTCTTTTGTCTCTTAAAGAGGCCTCACTCTTCTGTACCATTCTCACCGTCCCTGGCTCTTTTCCTTTCCATCTCTTTGGTGATTTCAAAGCTAGGGATGGAGAGAGAGGTCAGGAAGTCTCCTTTCTGGCACTCCAGATGTTTTTTCACAGAGCAGACTTTCAGTGCTGGTGCTGAGTGAGATGAAGGTGCATCACCAAGGTTTTACGTTAGAAAAGAGGCAAGGGGAGCTGGGGATTTAGCTCAGTGGTTCCGCCACCTGTCTCACAAGCGGAAGGTCCCGAGTTCGATCCCTGGTACCAAAAAAAAGGGGGGGGGGCCGGGGATTTAGCTCAGTGGTTCCGGCGCCTGCCTCGCAGCGCAAGGACCTGAGTTCGATCCCTGGTACCAAAAAAAAAAAGAGGCAAGGGAACCAGATGGGGAGTGTCCCTAGAACCACCCCTCCACTCTCATGTGGGAGTGTTGTTTGATAACGAACAGCGTGCTGATGTTCTCGCTATGACTGTAACAGTGGGGGAGGCAAGCGGTGGGTCTTTTCAAGAGGAGTATGTGAAAGGGAGAAGAGGAGGGTCTAGATTTCATCCTGGGGCTGCATGTGAGGTTGAGCTTTGGACTTTAAGTTTCTCAAAGTCCTTATGAATGCAAGTTCAGCTTCACAGACTGATCTCATTTTGTGCAAACTTTTGATCAACTGTGTGCACATTCTGGGCAGATTGCATACACCTGTGTGAGCAGATCCTTATGTCCCAGTCTCGCTCAAGCATTTGCAGTCTTCCTGGGGTGGAGTCTCTGGCTTTGTAACCCTCCTTACTGCATTCCTTCCACAGCAGCCCTGACCCTGCACTTTCCACCTGGAAGTTAATACCCCATTTGGCCTTGTTGGGGGTTGTGAAGGGATGGATGTGCTTTGATACCCATGGGTGGCCATAGCAGGAGAGAGACATGAGAAGCTGGAAAGAGCCTACATGGGTTTGTCATGAAGTGGCGGAAGGGTCAGGTTTTTGCAGATTTCTTAAGGTGCCATAGTACATGGCTGAATCAAGGCCTGGACCTAGGTCAGTCTAACATAAGAGTCATAAATAATGTACCACAGGGTTAATATGCAGAATACATACAAAATTCAAACAACTCAGTAGCAAAACAAAAGAACAAATAATATGATTTTAAAAATGGAAAATAAGGGCCAGGGATTTAGCTCAGTGGTTCTGCCGCCTGCCTTGCAAGCGCAAGGACCCGAGTTCAATCTCCGGTACCAAAAAAAAGGAAAATAATTAGGCATGGTGGTGCACACCTGTAATCCCAGCACTTGGGAGGCTGAGGCAAGAGGATCATTGAAGGTTCAAGGCCAGCCAAGGCTACATAGTGAGTTCAAGGCCAGTCTGAACTATATAGTAAGACCTTGTTTTGGGAAAAAAATGTCTGGGGATCTAGCAAAGGCCCTGGGTTCAATCCCCAGTACTGCAAGGAGAAGAAAAGATGGTGATGTGGAGAAAAGGGAACACTTGCACTTACATACTATTGTTAGGAAATTAAATTAGTACTGCTGTTATGGAAAACAGCATGAGGCTTCCTCAAAAAATTAGAAATAGAACTGTTATATGATCCAGTGAAGGAAAAAAATCAGTATGTTATTGCAGCACAATGCATAATAGCCAAGGAATGGAAACCATCTACATGTCCATCTACTGATGAGTGAATACAGAAAATGTGGTACATATACACCACGGAATACTATTTAGCCATAACAAGGATGAAATCCTTTTCATTTGTGACATGGATAGAACTGGTTTATTATGTTAAGTGAAATAAGTCACAAGTGCTATGTGATCTCACTCATACATGAATGTAAGTTGATCTCATAGATATTTAGAATAGAATAGTGATTAGCAGAAGCAAGAAAGAGTGAAAAAGGGTCAGGAATGGGGACAGATTGATCAACAGTTACTAAATTACAGTAAAATAGGAGAAATAAGTTGTAGTGTTCTACTATAGAATAGAATAACTATAGATAATGTAAATACACTACATATTTCAAAAAGACTATAAGAAAGAATTTTGAATGTTTTCAACACAAAGAAATGATTAATGTTTGAGGAGATAGGTATGCTTACCTTGATTTGAACATTACACATAGTCTACATGCATTAAAACATCACACGGTATCCCATAAATATGTGCAATGTTTATGTTTATTAAAAATAAATGTAGGACTGGAGATTTAGCTCAGTTGTGCCGCCACCTGCCTCACAAGTGCAAGATCCAGACATCAATCCCCAGTACCCAAAAATAATAATAATAATAATAAATAAATAAATGCACACATATATAAATAATATGCCTCAGTTTTCTCATTTGTATAATGGACAAGCTTATTGCTCTTACTCCCAGTATGGTCATGAGATTAAATGAGATAATCATGTAACAATCTAGCACATGGCCTAAATATAATAAAGTAAGTACTTGGTAAAGATTAGCCATTATTACTATTAATATATCATTTTGTCACAAAGGCACAACTACAGCAATAGCAAAAATTTAGCATAAGCACAAATATGATGAAATTAGAATTGTTCCAATTCATAAAGCTGTGAGGCCTTTCACTAGCCACTAACTTGAAGCTATGGCATTCCTCAACTGTCAGCCCACCCATCGGCTTCTCTCTGCCTTTACCCCAGGTGAAGTAGCAGCTCTGCCTGCCCCTCAGAACCTCTCTGTACACTCAACCAACATGAAGCATCTCTTGATGTGGAGCCCGGTGGTCCTGGCTGAAGAAACAGTGTACTATTCTGTCGAGTACCAGGGGTGAGTTTTTGTGTTTAGATAGCAGTTGATTCCCGCAGGCACAGCCCTTCCTCTTCAGCTCAAGGAGGCTTTGTGAGCCGAGGGACAGATGATCTCCAATGATCCCTCAGTGCGTGGGCATTGGGAGAGTTTAAGAAACAAGGGAAATCATCCTGTGGATGTGACAGTGAACTTTCTGGGAACACAAATGTGTATAAGTACATTGTAATGCAGCTTCTTTTTAACACAAAATCAACTGTCCAAGAATTTGATCCTGACTTGAGATGCATAAGTGGTTGGAGACCCAGATCCTTGGTGTATAGAGGCGATGTCAGTCTTCCTGACTATGAGCTTACACTTAGAAGCCAAACAAATCTTGACCCTAAACTGAACTCTCTATGCATAGACATTTACCTAGGTTCAGGGATATGATTGGCTGTGTTCCTGGATATAGGGAATTTAACATCTAGAGGAGGAGACAGTAAATATACTAGGTCTGTATTCTCCAATCAGTACCCACTAGCAACAGGTAGCTATTTAAATTGAAATGAAATGAAATGAAAACATCTATTTTCCAGTCACACTGGTCATATTTAGGTGCTCCAGAGCCACACATGAGTAGTGGCTACCATATTGAACACCACCAACACAGAACATTTCCATCATCATAGAAAGTGCTCCTGGGAAGCCCTGTTCTAGGCAATTTCAGGTAGTTATCAATGCTAGGAGGCAGCCATGAGGCTGATGCGATAGAGTTGACTCTGTGGCTCCTTCACATTAGGTGGCTGGAAAGGCCACTCTGAGGAGGTGATACTTACACCATATCTGCAGGTCAGGAGGAACCACTGGGTGAGCAGCATGGGTAGAGCATTTGAGACAGCATGAACAGATAGTCAGGATCCTGAGGCAGAGAGAGATTGACATTTTGGAGGAATGACCAGGAAGTCAGTCTTTGTAAATAGGGAGGGGTGGAGGGGTTGAAGACAGGGCAGGGGAAGGGGGAAAAAAATAAGAACCGAGATATATCATATAAAGGTACAAATTTCCAGTGATGAATGTCATCATATTGTATAACTAAGATGTACCAATAAACTTTTTTTTTTGTATTAAATTCTTTTATTGGTACATTGTACGTATACAACACAATTACATTTCTCATTGGGAATTGTACCTTTATATAATGCATCTTGGTTCTTGTTTTTTCCCCATTCCTAGCCCTCCCTTCACGCCCTCCACCCTTCCCTATTTACAAAGACTTTATTTCCATTTTTTCCATTTCTCATCATTTTTTCCTTTCCCTTCTTTCCTTTCCAGTGCCTCCCACTACCCCTACACCTTTGGACCTTTTCTTCCTATTTTACATTATCGATTATTCATTCTAATAATTGTGTACCAATAAACTTAATGAATTAAAAAAAAAGAAAGATAAAATGGAAGAAAAGAATATCTTTGTTTGTTGTTTTTTGAGACAATGTCTCACTATGTAGTTCAGACTGACCTTGAACTCACTGTGTAGCCCAGCCAGCCTGGAACTTGTGGCAATCTTCCTGTCTCATCCTCCCCAGTGCTGGAATTATAGGCATGTGCCACCATGCCTGGCTTAAGAATTTCAGTTTTATAGGAGGGAGAGAGAAGGCTAGAATCTTGCAGGTCACAGGGAAGAGTTTGGATTCCATTCTAAGTGCTTCAGGAGCTATTAAGAACAGAAACATGATCTGCTGAGTGGATGGCTTGGAGAACAGAAGTGTGGAAGGTAGGTGGCTACAAAAAGGCAAGGCATGATGGCAGTGGAGGTTAAGGTAGTGACTATGGACATGGAGAGGAATAGATAGATCAGGGTTTATGCTTAGGCTGCCTGTGGCTGGTTATAAAAGGAGTAAGGGAAATGGATGGTTGGTGAGGGAAGAGTGGAGGAACTGGGGTGGGGACCAAATGCTTATTTTGCTGATCCATAAGAAGTAGGAGACAGAAGGCAATTACAGCCACCTTTGAGCCTGGGTCACAGAGGCTGAAGTGACACTGTGTCCTCTCCTTGGCCAGGGAGTATGAGAGCTTATACACAAGCCACATCTGGATCCCCAGCAAATGGTGCTCACTCACTGAAGGTCCTGAGTGTGATGTCTCTGATGACATCACTGCCACAGTCCCATACAACCTCCGTGTCAGGGCCATCTTGGGCTCACAGACTTCAGCCTGGAGCATCCTGGAGGAGCCCTTTAATCGAAACTCAAGTAAGACCCTTCTCTTCTTCCTCCCTTGCCTGCTTCAGCCTTCCCTTCAGGAACTGTGTTCACATAGACTTTTGGGACTCATTTTAGCATGAAGTCTTGCAAAGCCAGAGTATTGTAAACACAAACCACCTTTATTGGTACATCTCAGAAACTGCCCATGGCTTCCCACATGCTGTCTCTCTCATGCCCTTGGTTTGGAAGTCATTTCTGACCATCTCTGTCAGAGTCTGCTGGTGGTAGAGGGGCTGAAACTTGGAAGAAATGTTTCTCTGGAAATGGGGAAGTAGCACCAGAACTGCTTCTTCCTATCCTGATCATGGCTCCATAAACCTTATGCTCCCTCCTATCTCGTGTCTCATTACCCCACATTTACTGCCTGTGAGTAGCGTCATTGTTTAAAAAGATCTGTGCATTTAAGAGCTGCCAGAACAGCTCCTTTGTATGGTTACTGGGAAATAACTTTTTATTGCAATAGTAACTAGAAAATTATTAAGAAGAGAAGAATCCAAATAGTTGGCCAGATATGGCTAAGTGTAAACAATGGGTAGTGTATAGAAGGATGTGTGTGCTTGGGAAACAGCAGAGGCAAAGGTTGCATGGGTAGAGGGAAGGGAAGCAGCAGGCCACGTGTTAAAGGGCTTTGCTATGGAGCTTGGTCAAATCAGTAGAGGGCAGCCACAGAAGAGGAGAAGGTCTAGGCCAGTTTTGTCTTATAGAACAATCTGGCTGCTCTATGCAAAGTGACCTGAAGTGGAGCAAGCCTGCAGGGCAGGGGAAGAGTGAGGAAAGGGTTATAACACTCAATCTGAGCCAAGATGCGTCCTAATCATAAGAGTGGAGGAGGAGATGGGGAGGACAGAATGAATTCAAGAGACATGGCTGAGTTCAAGAAGACAGTGCATGGCAATCGGTCATTGAGGAATGGAGTGGGCAGAGACAGCGATGTTGTTCAGCTTCTGACTGGGGTTGATGAGAGCACTATCCAAGCAGGGAGGCCAGGGAGGAGCAACCGGTCTTGAGAATGGGAGACACCTCTGTCTTTGTGCAATTTGAGACTGAAGTTCCTGCAAGATACCATGCCATGGGTATCTGATCGGCAGCAGGAAATCAGGTCCTGGGATTCAGAGAGGTCAAAGCCAGATCACAACCCAGAGTTAGTAGTTGAAGGCTTGGGGATGGGTGAGATTATCCAGATATAAGATATATGCGACAAACAGACCCCAGGACAAAGTCCTGGGAAAACGTGGGGTTTAAAATGTAGTTGGAGGGAAGGACAGCACTGGGTGGCTGAGGAGGTAGAAGGCCATGGAGAGGAAAATAAACAGCTCCTGGTAGGCTGAAGGAGGCCTCTGGGTGTGCTCTTGAGAAAGTGATTCCATGGAATGGATGGGATGGCAGTCTGGTTATCAGGGTGGAGGACTCAGCAGAGGTGGGAAGGAGAAAGGCAGCTCCTCCTCTGAGACAGGTGTGGGAGGGAATGCTACCAGCTTGGAGCTGTGGGAAGGGCAGGGAATGAGACTTTTGGTGGCCCTCTTTGCTTAAAGTGGCAGAATATCCTTTGTTGCAAGAGAGGGCAGAGGAAGATTTAGGCCAGCGTTTGGAGTAATGAGACAAGCCAAGGTTATAGAGGAACATAAGATATTGGTGGAAATCACGAGGGTTTAGAAGGTACCTCCCTCAAGCTGGAAAAGGCTAAGGAGGATGAAGATAGCTTTGAAAGGGAAGTTGGCCCAGCGAGATCAGAGGGATGTGGTTCATACTCTAGCTCAGCCACTGGACAGGTGGGTTGCTGCCTCCTCATCTCTAAGAGGGGCTACAGTTTTCTTCACTAGGTAGTCACGGGGACCACGTGAGATGAAATGTGTAAAAGCTCAGTGCATTTCTGTTCTACCACAGCACTCAGCTGTTGGTGGGTATTATTACTATTTTCCTAGGATGCCAGGGTTTGAGAGCAGAGAGGAAAGGGCTGGGGCAAGAATAGGACTGTCGGGGCCAGGGATTTAGTTCAGTGGCACTGCACCTGCCTCGCAAGCGCACGGTCCTGAGTTCGATCCCCGGTACAAAAAA